TTTCAAAGACTCAGATTTGTGTACTAAACCTGTAATGAAGCGTAGCTGTCAGAAAACTATTCTGTTCAATGAATTGTACTCTGCTGGCAAAATATTGCCTCATTAGGACATGAGTAATGAAAATCCTTTAAAACTTGTTGGATAATTTACAATTTACCACATATAAATATTCAGAATAGCTCTTTAGAATATAATTTCATTTTAAAAAATGCTTTTTCTTCATGTCTGCACCATTTGAGCTATATTTGTGGATGATAGTGCATCCTCTTACCCAGTGTGTTGCTTCCTTTCCCTCTCTCCTTCCCTCCCTCTCTCATCTAACCCATGACAGCTGCTTTTATTTGTGTGTCCTTAATATGTCTTGAAACTGCTTCTTTCCATTCCCATATCCTTTCCTCAAGTTCAGGCCTTCAGTGCTGTTCTGGGTTTCTGAAACAGCTTTCTGTTCCTGCCACAGTTCTTAAGCCTCTCTAAGCTATTAGCCTTGGTTCCAGTTGCTTCCAAGATAGTCACAGCTGCTGTTTGGCCTGATTGCTCATGTGGCCACACTTACCTCTCATGTTCTTGTGGTCACATTTCCTCACCCTCACTTTCCATTTTCCACTAATTTTTATTGTTCTTCACTCAGACAATAGCTGTTCCTGGGAAGTCCACCCAGACCCTGAAAATTAGATGTACCTCCCTGTGTTCCCATTGAACCTGGATCATAGCTCAGTTATAATTTTATCACATTGTTATAATTAATTTTTTTTAAAATTTGTTACTTTTTGTCAATACAGTACAGCTCTTTAGAGTAGTCAGGGCTCAGAAAGTTCATAGTGTGAACATTAACCACCTTCTTCAGCCAGTTAGTTCTTAGATACTTAGTATGGTTCGTTGAACAAATGAATGGTGGGCATGAAAGGCAAATTAGATGGGTGCAGGTAATAATGCTTGGGTCTGAGGAAAACACTAAGGACGTGTGGTTCATGTTTCTAGTAGAGAATTATTTAGATAGAACGTTTAGTCATATCAATGACCATTGTATTACTTTCTGAATTTAGTTTGTTAATTTCAGTTATTTGTCTTTAAAGCAAACCTTTCAGTAAAAAATGGAAATCCAAACAGTCCTTCTAGCAGTTTTCATTTCAGCTGCTTTTCTACAAATACCCTTATGTTTGAAATGTGGTGCATCTCCCAGGCACTAACTGGTAGGTACAGACTCCATCACTGACAGTAACTATAGGTCACATGGTTTTTTAAGTGACGCACACAACAGATACTAATGTTATCACCCAGTTCATCTGTAAATGTGAAGGACTCCAGTGACACCTAAGTCCTTGGGTCTTTCATAGTAAAGAAGAATCTTTGTTATCTCCAGGACATCATAACCATTGTTTTCTTATTTTTTATTTTTGGCTTCTGGAATGAAATGATTCAGATGCCTTCTTTTTGTTGGTTTACATTGTTTAGAATCACACTTGGAATAATATCTTTATCATCGTTTATTGGATAGTGCTTCTTCCTATTCTGTTGCTTGTCGGATTCACCAAATCTCTTTAAACTAAAATAACGATTCCTGATTCTGGTGGCTGACATCTACTTTATTAGAATTTCTTGGAAGATCTTATAACTACTTGTTATTTAAAACTAATTTTAAGGTATGTATTTTATTTTTAAAAACTTAGAAGTCATTCATTTACATTCTGATCTGCATAGAGGAGATAAAAGTGGAATTAGAGCCACCCCAATGATGAGCAGTTTGTGATAAATGGTACCATACATCCTTTCACTCTCCCCCCATTCATTTAAATACCGATAATTAGTAATAACTTGCTTTCTTAATGTGTATTTTTAAAGTGTATTACCTTTTACAGGCTAAAATTTAAAATTTAAACCTGTCGCAACATAATGCTTCAAATTATCACTATCAGATCGTACTTGAGATTCCAGGACTAGTTCTCCTTACTTAATCTTTCCTTGTTCACTTTTCACGAAATACCTGTCTTTATATCTATGTGTTAAGGTTTGTCTACCCAGAGTTATTTCCAAACTTAATTTTTGGGTACAATTTCTCCCTTTCTTTTATGATGATGATGATGATGATGATGATGATGGAAGCAGTGAATATTTAATGAGTAGTTAGTATGCAGACAGCACTGTACTAAGTGTTGGCATATATTATTGAATTATTATGACACATAGAGTTAAGGCCCATTATTGTTCTTGTCTTTGATGGAGAAATTAGGGCAAGACTAAATAATTGGTCAGTGGCAGAGCCTGGATTTGAACCAAGGTCACCTGCCTTCTAAGCCCAAATTCTTAGCCTCTGAGCTATTTCTTTTCCTAGAGGAGGCTGGGTTGAACCCAAAATGATTCATGGTAAAAATGATGCTTTTGCCTACACTGATACTAGGTTAGAATAAAAGTTACTCCCTTTTTGCTTTTGCAGGTTCCCACCCAACTCAGCACAACCTTTTTAGTCTCTAAGATATTTAGTTTCATATCTCTTAAAAATTTTTTTAGCAGAATTCATAAACATGACTTAGGTTTTTCTCTTTCTGTATTTCAGAAAATATTTAATTTTGAGACAGTAGCTCTCTGTGTAGGCCGTCTTATACATTCACAGATGGCATTATTTTATCTGTCCTTAAACCATCTGTAGCATCAGCCTAGTCTATTCCAATTGGTGTCATCTTACATTTATGCAGGAGTGAGTTATTAAAGTAAAACTTTATATTTGTATCGCATTTTGGGTAAATGTTAGAGTAAAACATTGATTTATTTTATCACAACAACTATGCAAAGAAAATTTAATTTTTTAACCTCATCTTGATTTATTTTATATGAAGTCTTCAGAACTGAATTGAATTGAATTCAGCAACTATTTATTGAGCACATATTGTGCTCCTGGAATTGTGGAGATAAGTTTATGGTCCAGCAGGAAAGACAATGGAGTAGTAAATACAATTGAAGAAGAAATACAATTATGATTCTCATTATGAAAAACCATTTCAGAGGAGTGGATAAAATGGAGTTTCTTAGGGAAAAGGGAGAGTCTTCCAGGCAAAGTAAGCAGCAAGTGGGAAGCTCTGATGTCAAAGCTGTCAGAGTGACCAAGATAGTAGAAGATGTTCAGTCTGACTGGTACTTAGAGTGGGAGGCAGAGAGTGACAGGGGTTTTTTGAGGCGAGACTTTACATTTAAGTAGGGACAGACACCTTGTAGGTCAATTAAGGATTCTGGATTTGAACTTAAGATTAATGCAAGTTATTGATGAACCTAAAGCAGAGGTATGGCACGAACAGAATTGGTTTTAGGAAGACACCTCAGGCCTCAGTGTTAACAAAGGGACAGAAGTAGATGTGGGAATACTGATCCTCAGGAAGAAGACATGTGAGTTGGTTCGGGGTTGGTGGAGTCTCTTGGACCACTTTTTGCTATACTGTGTTGTTGTTGTTTTGCTGACAATGGCAGAAAGTGACCTGATATTAGATGTTGTGTTTGACTCTCTTGAAGTTACAGATAGCTCTGTATTATTTTCATTTTGTAAAATCTTTCAGGAAAGTTGGGAGGTTATTTTAGTAGACATTGAGAAAAATGATTTTTGACTTAAATCAGTGTAATGACATAGAGATGGAAAAAGTGGATAGATTCCAGGGCCATACTGCTGAGAATGGAAGAGCCAGTCTAGGTATATAGAAAGTTCCATTTTATTGATGTCTAATAAAATTTTACTGATGTCCTATGTAAGGAGAGTATGAGCCAGAGAAAAAATGGAACAAAAATGAAACCTGGAGTTAATATAGTAGCTCTGTATTGTGCAAGGCATGACCTCACGGTGCAGTTACAAGGATAATGGAGATATAAGCATTCTGTTGATTGGAAAGTACTGGATCTAACTGTCATCTAGGTGATATCCTGCTGTAAGGTTTGCTCATCACATGAGTGTGTGATAGTAACAGAACTTCAAGTAACAAACATGTTTATTTAGTGTCTGATGCCTCCACTTCCAAAAAAACATCAATTCATTCTTTGATTCACTTGCTTATTTGTTTTTAAAAACTTTACTGAGAGTCTACTATCCACCAGGCCTGTCTCTTCATCGCAGTCTTTAATATCACAAGTGGCCATATACCTAGTGCAGACCTTTTATGTTTATAAGTACTTATTGAGACATATCTCATTTAGGATACATTTAGTCAGGTTGACAAGATCTCACCACTTCTTCCCAAGTGGCCTGTTTACTCAGTGTGTAGCCATTGATAAAATCCTGTGACCCTAATCTTCCATGTCTCCTGATGTCATGTTCTCTGCACTTTATATTGCTACTCTGCAATCTTTGCTCAAGCTCCATTTTGGTCGAACATTTGGTTGGTTCAATCATCACCACCCCCACCAAGGCTTCCTGTTACTCATTGTAGGCTTTTCTTATTAAACAGTGTAATGCAAGCTGTTATAGCAAAGACAGCCTTAGTCTCAGTGGTTTAAGTACATTAGAAGCTTATTTCCTGTTATCATAAATTCATTTGATAACAGATGTAAGAATAGAGGGTTTTCTGCTTCACTCATGCACCCAGGCTGATGGAGTTAACATGCTGCTCAAAAAAATGTGCTTTGAACTCAATATCTAGCTGTCAAAGTGAGAGAGAGTGAAAATGAATATGAACACTCACATAGGGAGGTTTTTACAGGCTAAGGATTAGAAGTGGCTGGCATCATTCCTACCCACTCTTCATTACTCAGGTAATGACCATAGCTAACTGCAGGGGAGGCTGGGAAATACAGTCATATGTTTGCCTTGTGAACCAATCTGTGCCACACCAGCTCCTGACTTTTCTTCTGTGGTACCTGCTCTTGATTTTAAATGATAGGAAGAAGCAGAGAAGGACCAGAGATAGGAAAGTATCTCCTTTATACTTTTCTAAGTGGCTGTGTCATGGTCCTAGACATTCAAATGGGAAATGTCTACATTCTGAATTCTAACATATCTGATCATTGCTATTATTCTATTATCACAGGGAAATAAATGCCCGACTTGATGCTGTATCTGAAGTTCTCCATTCAGAATCTAGTGTGTTTGGTCAAATAGAAAACCATTTATATAAATTGCCCGACATAGAAAGAGGACTGTGCAGCATTTATCACAAAAAAGTAAGTGTGATAAAAATCAAATTATAGCTTATATTGTGCCCTAATATGAGGATACCAGATATTAATGGAACATCTTCTGATATTTCTGTATTATTTTTATTTTGTAATCTTGCAAGTAGCATGAGAGAGTAGCTAAACCCTCAGAAATCTGAATGTACAAATTAAGGTTGTTTAGTTTTTACATTTGTAAAAAGTAAAGTTTTGCCACTTTTTAAACTACATTAACATATATAGAATTCCTCCTATTATAATGCAAGATATTCTGTTTCATCCTCAAACTGCAAACCAGTATCAAAATGGGAAATTTACTTAGTCCTGCTACTTGAGAAAAGAGATGCCTTTTTTCTTTTGATCTTAAAACAACTTCTTTTTTTTTACTTAACCAAAGCGTTAAATGTAATATTTGTTACACTGGTATGACATTGGTGAGGCTGTTAGTATGCAAATAAATTTGGATGTTGAAGGTGAGTAAAACTATTATTTTGTTTTATATCATTAAGTTTCACAGCCTAAGTGATAGAGCACTGATGAGTTTTCCTCAAGGGAAATCATTTTATTTTATCATAAAAATATTCTTGAAATGTAAAAAATGATTAATTCATTATATTTATAATAATTGTTAATCAGGTAGATTTTTAAAGTGTATTACCTTTTGCAGAGTCATTCATGTACAATATATTCTTTGTTTCATGTAACAAAAACTATGACACTGAGAAGATATTATTTTATAACCTTTTTACTGCTAAGAAATTGTATATATTTATAATGTTGTAACAGCTTGTATTGCATTGGCTTCTGTGGTGCTACTGAGAGGATTAGTAACTTGCTAGTAAGTGACAGAATTTATGGTTAAACCTAGGTTTCTTCACTGCGTTTTTAGTGGCTGTCTCTTTTGGGTGCTACTATGTTTGATGTAGTTGTCTTGGCTACTCCATTGCCTTTTTTTTTTTTTTTTTTAAATGTGGTTACTTCTTCACAGGCAAATTTTATTTTTTGCCCAAATGTAAATGCTTGTCAGTTTAATAATTTTATCATAGAACAATTTCTATAAGCCCTAGTTTTAGAGTGACCAATTTTCCTTTAATGTTTACTTTCTTAAGTCCTTCTTTCCCCATAAACTTTTACTAGAATGATAAGTACTGCCTCTTAGAACATTTGTGGTGTTCAAGAGGACTTATGTAACTGTTCCATATGCTTCGGCTAAATTTGAAAACAAAGTACAAACCAGATTTGGGAATACTGATCCTCAGGAAGAAGACATGTGAGTTGGTTCGGGATTGGTGGGGTCTCTTGTTGTTGTTTTGCTGGCAATGGCAGAAACCGTCCTGATATTAGAAAACATTGTGGTTTACTCTCTTGAAGTTACAGAGGGGTGCCAAACCATCTGTTATTTTGTGTCCTTGGCCAGTGCCTAACAATCAGTGCAGTACTACCCACATCAATCAGCAGATCTCCAAGTACCTTGCCTTCAGTATTTGAGAGGATTCACTGAAAGATTTCAGAGTTTTTTTTAATTTTCTGAAGAGAAAATAGGAGCAGAGCTAAAATTCTTTCAATTGCTAATCTAACAAGTAAAGTCAAAGTGTGGCATCAAGATTGCAGCGTCATTCCATGCTTCCGTGGTTTCTTACGCCTTGATCCTCTCTTTAAACTTCACTTTGATGCTTGCCTTTCATTTGGTTTATGTATTTATAAAAGCATCCAAGCTCTAGTAAAAGTTCCAAAATAATTCATTTTAAAAGTGACCAACATGCAGTGCAAGAACGAGTTTCATTTTGGAATTTCAAAACATATTTTACTAAAGGAACTTATGACTCACTTAGAAGCTGTTTCTTTTTGCTGTTTTCATGTTTACACAAGAATATGCCTCAAGATTGGTTTGAAAGGTGAAAAATAAAAATGATTTTATAGCAAACCAGCTTCAGAAAGGCTTAGCACTTTAAACCATATTTTTATAGATTAATTAGCAGACTCTTGGAACACACCATCAAACACATATCTGTTCTTTATTACTACATTACTCTAAGTAAGCTTCTATAGACACCCAGTAATGAGTGCTATCCTGGGTACAGGTTGTGCCAATTATGTGATATTCACAAAATGGTAAGGAACACTGGCTATTATTGAAGTCACACATTTAGGCCTGGTGGCTGTATAGAAAGTGCCATTGGAATTTGCACAAATAGGTGTTTTTATGGTAATAAAGATAGAGAATCCTAACTGGCCTGGTCCTGGGATAAAATCAATATTTAAAAAAATAATAAAACTTCAAATCTTGTAAAATAGTGCTAGTCATAGGAACCCCTACTAACTTTGCTCAAAATTTGTTTTGTAAGAAATGATTGCTAAAGTTGGTGACTACATTTAAAGATAATAGCACTTTATGGATCAAAGACGTCAAAATTAGATCAGAAACCCTGTATATACTAGAAGAAAATGTAGTCCCACACTTTAACAGATCAGCCCAGGAACTGACTTCCTTAACAAAAAAGAAGCCTAAGAAGTAAAATCAATAGTCAATAAATGGGACTAAAAAAACCTCTTCACAGCAAAGGAAACAATCAAGAGCATGAAAAGAGAGCCTATAGAATGGGAGAAAATCTTTGCCACTTGCACCTCAGATAGTGCATTAATCTCAAGGATATACAAAGAACCCAAAAATTTTAACACCAAAAAAATAAACAAAAAACAGATAAACAATTAATTCAGTCAATAAATTGGCTAAGGAACAGAACAGACTCTTCACAGAAGAAGAAATACAATTAATCAACAAATATATGAAAAAATGTTCAACATCTCTAGCAATTAGAGAAATGTAAATTACACTGAGATTTCATCTTACTCCAGTCAGAATGGCAATTATCAAGAATACAAGCAGGATGTAGGGAAAAGGATTCCCTCATACATTGCCGGTATGACTGCAAATTAGTGCAACCACTCTGGGAAGCAGTATGGAGATTCCTCAGCAAACTTGGAATGGAATGACCATTTGACCCACTCCTCAGTATATACCCGAAGGATTTAAAATCAACATACAATAGTGATGCAACCACATCAGTGTTTATAGCAGCACAATTCACAACAGCTAAGTTATGGAATCAACCCACATGCCTTTCAACAGATGAATGGATAAAGAAAATGTGGTATATATACAAAATGGAGTATTATTCAGCCATAAAGAAGAATGACTTTATGACATTTGCCAGTAAATGGATGGATCTGGAGACTATCATGCTAAGTGAAATAAGCCAGTCTCAAAAAAGCCAAAGGTAGAATGTTTTCTCTTATATGCAGATGCTAACCCACAATAAGGTTGGGAGGGGAAGAACAGAAATTCAGTAGATTAGACAAAAAGGGATGAAGGGAAGGGAGGAAAGAAAGACAACAGAATGAATCTAACATAATTTTCCTATATACACATATGAATATACCACAGTGAATCCCACCATTATGTACATCCACAAGAATGAGGTCCTAATTAGACTAAGATATATTCCACACTAGTGTAATTTTATCAGAATGGATTCCACTGTCAGTGTAACTAAAAAGAACCAATAAAAATTTTCAAAAAAATAATAGCACCTTAAAAAGTTGAGAAAAGAGTGTTTTCCAGAATTTTGTGGGTGTGAATAGTTTCTTAGCCCAGCTGGAATAAACTCAAAGCCACATTTTCAGTGTGGCACTTGGGCTGTAGTCTTTGCAGTGCTGTGATGCTGTGCCCCTGCACTTGTGGGTCTGTTCTGAAGTACTCCAAAGAGAGACTTTGCTGCCAGAAGTGGATCTGAGCAGCCACCTTGGGAACCTATCCTCAGCCTTTCTGCAGCTCTTTTGAGTTCTTTGCATAAGAAATGTCAGAACAACCTGCCTTGTGCATTTAGGACTTGCTTGCAGAGCACTTCAGGTTTTCACTCTGTTCCTATGGCTGACTTACCTTGGAAACAGAGCTTACCTTGGGAAGTGAATTCCTTTCTTGCCTCTCAGATTACAGTAATTACAAGAACTATTCTTTGAAAATTATGTTTAAGATGTTTAGTTTTTTACTTTTGTTTGAATTAATTGACTAGCGCCTAAAAAGCTTCCAGGCTCCATACTTATACAAGCATTCCAACTTCCTTATTAGCAGGTGGTATTTTTCCCAGTATGCTGGGGCCTTTCTGGGGAAGAGATGCTTCATGGTACCTTTTGATCTCAACTTTAGTTCAGTTGGACCCTACTTATTTCACTTCATAATTTTTTTTTAAAGAGAGAGAGAGAGAGAGAGAGAGAGAGAGAGAGAGAGAGAGAGAGAGAGAGAATGAGAATTTCTTAATATATTTTTTTTAGTTTTCGGTGGACACAACACCTTTGTTTGTACGTGGTACTGAGGATTGAACCCGGGCCGCACGCATGCCAGGCGAGCGCGCTACTGCTTGAGTCACATCCCCAGCCCCTCTTCATAATTTGTTTAATTTCATATGGTTAATAATTATCTTTTAAAATAAATATTTAGCATTAATCCATTTTCTGTATATCACTAAATGTGCCTTATCATGAATTTAACCCTAAATTGTCTTCTTATAATAAGATATTTATTTTCATTAAATATTCAATTTTTTCTTGCAGAACTGTCTTCTAGAGCATTCTGACTGATCTGTTCTGGTTTGGTTGCTACCTCCTTGAATCCCCTTTACTTCTCTTGAGTTGAATCTTCTGCTTTTTGTATTCCATGTCTCCCTGTTAGTATATGCCTTCATTTTCATGTGTTATCCTGAGAAGCTTCCTGAGAAAGGGTGATGGAAATAAATGTTTTCCCCCCCCTATTCTCAGACTTGATTGGTAGTTTGGCTAAGAATAAAATTCGAGGTTATAAATTATTTTCATTCAGAATTTTGTGTTATACCAGTGTCTTTTAGTTGCACAGTATGAAGTCAATGTGATGCCTGATTCTGTGTGTGATCCTCCCTGCTTCCTTTAGAAATTGAAAAATATTCTCTTTATTCCCAGTCTTCTAAAATTTCGTGATGATCTGGCTTGATTTAGTTCTGTTTTTATCCATTGTGTTGTGACATTCTGGTCTAGCAGCTTAAATCCTGAAGTTCTGGAGGATTTTCCTGAATTAATTTTTGATGATTTCTTTCTTTCTGCAACTTTTTTGTTTGAATTGATGTTTATCTAATTTTCTTCTGTGTTTTCTGTTTCCCATCTCTATACTTTTGCTTTACTTCCTTGGGGATTTCATCATCTTCTGTCTCTTCTGTTGAATTTTGTCATTTCTACTGTCATAGTTTAGAATCTGTGTGTGTGTGTGTGTGTGTGTGTGTGTGTATTGGTCTGAATGTTCTTTTAAAAAAAATCTTCCCATTTTTGTTTCATGGTTCCAGTGTCTTCGGTTTTATTGGGGTTATTATCAAATTTTTAAGTGTTTTTTCCTCTAATTATATAGGCTAAGAATTATTATTTTGGTCTTTACATTTCATATTAAAATGTTTTCTCAAGTATCTGATCATTCTTTTTAAGAGAGAACTAGAATGTTAATGTGAAGACCTATGTAGTCGAATGGCTTATTTTACAAAAAAAGAGGAAAGACCTATAAAGTGAACTTAGCTTGGCTATTTATTGGGAGGACTACTGCTATAGTTATCTTTAGAGTTTTCCTGTTGAGATACCTCTTTTCCTGATGAACTAATAATGTTCTGGGAGATGGAAAGGGACAATGTGGATCTCAACATCCAGTTTGCATTTCTTTAATCCTCTACTTTCAGTGGTACCCTCATCCTTTGCTGGGTCTGATGCTCATCCAGATACCCCAGGTTACTTTTTCCCTGGAATAGATCTAGACTTCTTTATAAGGCAGTGAAGTATTGGTTGCCCAATAGCATAGAAAAGTATAAGGGATCCAGGGATTTAATTGTTTCTTAAATGGCTCTCAACTAATTCTTCCCTACTCTAACTCCTTCCTACCTGCAAAGATCGTGTATGTACCACCTGGAACTTTTAAGATTCTTGGTGTAAATTAGGTTGTATCTCAGTTTTACATAAGGACAACTGTAGAGTCAAAACATTTTGAGACTTGTTGCTGATGTCTTTGAGTCATTCTTATGGTTTTATGCATTCTGAAAAAATGTTTTGACCGTAGTTCTGACATGGAGAGAATTTAGATGCATGGGTTCATCCCACTGTCTTTACCAGAAGCTTCTATAAAAAATTATTAATGTGTGTTTAAGAATTACAATGGTATACCAGAATGAGTCTTCCTGTACCACCTCCCCATACCTACTACCTAGAGGTAACCAGAGTAAGTTACGTGTGTGCCCTTCTAGAAATATGTTTTTATTTTTCATGTTTAGAGTATAATTCATATCATTTAAAGAATCACAAAGAAAATGTTGCTGTCTAAAGATATAAAAATATATATGTATATGACATAAGCATACTATTTATTTAGTATATGTTGAAATTATAGGATTCTGTAGCAGTATATACAGGTTTCTTATTTTTAAACTATTTCATAGTATTACATCGTTTTGAGTTTTTCCTAATAAGATCCCAATTGATGGACATTTGTTTTTATATTATTATAAAAAATCACTACTCTAAATACAGATACACACATTTTTCCCACTACTTGAGTACATTTTGAAATAAATTCTAAGGAACTGGAATTGCGTAGTGCACTTTTTAATTTATTAAGATATGAGCACTTTTTAATTTATCAGGATATCCCAAGCTATTCTTCAAAAAGGTTATGCTTGTACTTTTAGTATTAGTTTTTTTTAAACACCTGTGTGACCTAGACTTTTAAATCTTTGACATTCTGATAAGTCACAGACGCTACCTTGTTGTTTCAATTTACACATCTTTTGTTCTGTATAGTTAATCATGTTTGTTAGACATTTTTTCTTATGAGCTACATATTTACTTTGTTTAGCCACAATTCTTTGGATTATTTATTTTTTTTCATGTCAGTTTGTAAGAGCTCATTATATTTGGGAGAAATTTGTTCTTTCACTCTCATGTCTTGCAGATATTTCCCTTAGAATTGTCCTTCATATTGTTGATATTGACCATATAGCAAAAAAACAAAAAACATGTTGTAAACATGTATTTTAAAATGAAAATTTACAAAATATTGGCTTTATTATCCCATACTGAAATTATCTTCTTATTACTTTAAAATATTTTGTTATGTAGTGTTTAGCTAGGAGCCATAGTGCATGCCTATAATCCCAGAGACTCAGGAGGCTGAGGCAGGAGGATCATAAGTTTGAGCAACAAGCATCAGCAACTTAGTGAGACTCTGTCTCGAAATACAAAATAAAACAGCGAGGGTTGGGGATGTAACTCAGTGGTAGAGTGTCCCTGGGTTCAATACTCATTACTGGAAAAAAAAAAAAAAATTGTATAGTGTTTAACCTCATTTAGAAACTAGCAGTGGCATTTTATTTGGACTAAATAGTTTAGAAATTTTTCATTTTTTTATTCTAATTTTAAAAAGATCACTAAGTAAACTTCATTTACTTGTACCTTATGCTGTGTAGATTAAAAATATTCCTGTTTTCAGTGTTCTACACAAGAGTTCTTCTTGATTGTCAAGACCCTGTATCATCTACAGTCAGAGTTTCAAGCATTAATGCCTGCTGTTAATTCTCATGTTCAGTCAAACCTGCTCCAGACAGTTATTTTAGAAGTTCCTGAACTCCTCAGTCCAGTGGAGCATTACTTAAAAATACTTAATGAACAAGCTGCCAAGTAAGTACCAGATCCTCAGTTCTTCCTTTCCATCAATGAGCATTCATCTAATACATTTGCCATTTGATGTGTGGATTTTCAGTCTTTGCTAGAGTACTGGTAGAAGGTGCTTGAGTGCACATGTACTCAGTTAGAAACATGATTAGATACTGAAAGTTTTACATTATAGCTGGAAGTTACACTTTATTGTCTAAACTCAGGCAGTTTATTATGTAGGACAGTTGACTGCTTCCCCAGGTGTCAGATGATAAAACTATAAAGCACAGGCAAAACCAAATAGTAGCAGTTTATTAACTTGAAAATGGATGTCAGATGGCGTTGTGTACTCATTTCCCAGATATCCATTGTGTACTCATTTCTTAGCTATCCAGGGATGATCTGTCTTATATTTAGATTCTGTAACAGCAAAGTTATCTTTTAAAGGATAGTTATTTCACGGTGCGTCCCACAAAGATTTCCATATTTAAAAAAAAAATTGACATTTACATTTGTCTTTATTTTCTGAATAGGCAAATGACTCTTATTTAATTTTTTCTCTTGGTTTCACCATGGGAATCATGAATTTGTAAAATTAAAATTATATTATGGTAATTTTGTCAATCCTCAGAAGTTCAGAAACATTCCCATAAATACTTAGTGGCAGAACTGGCATTAGAACCACATTTTCTTGACTTCTAGCACTAGGGTCTTTTATCATGCTACAAAATAAAATTGATAACTGTTCTAATAATATACTTAAATATATGTATTTGCATTTTTCATATTTCAGAATTGGGAATAAAACTGAATTATTCAAAGACCTTTCTAACTTCCCTTTAATAAAACAGAGGAAGGATGAAATTCAAGAAGTTACTGACAAGATCCAAATACATTTGCAAGAAATACGAAAAATATTAAAAAATCCTTCTGCACAGTATGTGACAGTATCAGGACAGGAGGTAATGTCAAACATGAATTTATTTTGCATCAGCTTGCCTTAAGTAGAAAAGCTATTTTAAAACGTAAATAAAAATCTGAGGATAGGATGTAAGTATCATTTTTTCAACTTTATGTTTTGTTCTTTGGAAATAAAAATAAATTGTTTTGATAAGAAATATTTTAATAATGATATTGTATTAGTCTTTTGACAAACTTATGCAACTTAATGTTATATGTGTTTTATTGTTATCTGTTGGAATTATATTATGGAAAACTTTGCTTCTTATATAAGTAGTAATTTAGAGAATCCACTTGTTCTGAATCCAGGACATAGAAGTCATTCTTCAATCCTAGGCTTAGAGAAAATGAAATAATACCAAGTGGACCATATAATATTGATTGGATCACACAGTGATTATTATACGATGGTAGTTCTTTCTGAAGTTAGTAGTGTAATTGCTAAATGGGGGAAAAGGCACTCGTACTTTGCTGGTGGGACTGCAAATTGGTGCAACCAATCTGGAAAGCAGTATGGAGATTCCTTAGAAAAGTTGGAATGGAACCACTATTTGACCCAGCTATCTCGCTCCTTGGTTTACACCCAAAGGACTTAAAAATCAGCATATTGTAATAACATAACCACATCAATGTTCATAGCAGCACAATTCACAGTAGCTAAACTGTGGAACTAACCTAGATGCCCTTCAATGGATGAATGGATAAATGAACTGTGGTATATATACACAATGGAATATTACTCAGCCATTAAGAAGAATGAAATTATGGCATTTCAGGTAAATGGATGGAGTTGGAGAATATCAAGTTAAGCGAAGTAAGTCAATCCCCCAAAACCAAAGGCTGAATGTTCTCTCTGATAAGTGGATGCTGATCCATAATGGGGAAGGGGGAGACATGGGAAAAATGGAGGAACTTTGGGCAAAGGGGAGGGAGAGGTGGGAGGGTGCATGGGGGCAGGAAAGATGGTGGAATGAGATGGACATCATTACTCTAGGTACATGTATGACTGCAAATATGGTGTGATACTATATCATGCACAACCATAGAAATGTAAAGTTGTACTGCAGTTGTGTACTGTGAATCAAAATGCATTCTGCTGTCATATATACCTAATTAAAATAAATTAATTTACAAGTAAAACAAGAGTGAAAAACTATATTTAGTGATTATGTAACAATATTGTGTTACTGTTTTTTTATTTTATTAATTCTTTTTGATATATGACAGCAGAGTGCATTACAATTCATATTATACATATAGAGCACGATTTTTCATGTCTTTGGTTGTATAAAAAGTATATTCATACCAATTCGTGTCTTCATACCTGTACTTTGGATGTTCATTACATTCCACCATCATTTCTAACCTCATGCCTCTTCTCTTCACCTCCCACCCCTTTTCCCTATCTAGAGTTTGTCTATTCCTCCCATGCTCCCACTCCCTACCCCACTATGAATCAGCTTCCTTATATCAGAGAAAACATTCAGCATTTTTTTGCGGGGGGGATTGGCTAACTTCAGTTAGCATTATCTTTTCCAGCTCCAACCATTTACCTGCAAAAGCCATGATATTATTCTCTTTTATTGCTGAGTAATATTCCATTGTGTATATATGCCACTTTTTTTTTAATCCATCTATTGAAGGGCATCTAGGTTGGTTCCACAGTTTAGCTATTGTGAATTATACTGCTATAAATGTTGATGTAGCTGTGTCCCTATAGGATGCTGCTTTTAAGTCCTTTGGGTATAGACCAAGGAGAGGGATAGCTGGGTCAAATGGTGGCTCCATTCCCAGTTTTCAAAGGAATTTCCATACTGCTTTCCATATTGGCTGCATCAATTTGCAGTCCCACCAGCAATGTATGAGTGTACCTTTTTCCCCACATCCTCGCCAACCCTTACTGTTGTTTGTCTTCATAATAGTTGCCATTCTGACTGGAGTGAGATGATATGTTAGAGTAGTTTTGATTTGCATTTCTCTAATTAGTAGAGATGATGAGCATTTTTTCATATCTTTGTTGATTGATTGTATATCCTCTTCTGAGAAGAGTCTGTTCATGACCTTGGCCCATTTATTGATTGGGTTATTTGTTTTTTTTGGTGTTTAACTTTTTGAGTTCTTTATATACCCTAGAGATTAGTGCTTTATCTGATGTGTGAGGGGTAAAAATTTGCTCGCAGGATGTAGGCTCTCTATTTACCTCACAGATTGTTTCTTTTGCTGAGAAGAAACTTTTTAGTTTGAGTCCATCCCATTTATTGATTCTTGGTTTCAATTCTTGCACTATAGGAGTCTTATTAAGGAAATATTTGGTGTTTTCAAACAGGAAAACACCAAATATTGAATTGTGTCTCTTGGTTGTGTTATTGAATCATGACCTTCTAAAGTAAAAATAATGCAAGGATTACTCTTCTGCCTCTTTGGTGAAAATCAGATGATCACAATTGCTTTAATAATGTTAATAAAGGATATAAAGTAGCAGAGTGGCTTCTTGGTATTACAGTGGGAAAGCTAAGTGTAAGTGCCAGTTCTACCAGTTACATGCTACTTGACCATGGAAGAGTCAACTGTACCTTGAGACTAGTGTGAAGATCAGTTAAGTTAAAATACATCAAAGTGCCTTCTAATCATAAAATATTACTACTAAATTTTAATGTGATGACAATAATAGTAATATAGTTGCCATTTATCAAACACTTTGTGTTTGATAAATGGCAACTATATTACTACTATATGAGTGTGGCAAGTGTTTTACATGTATTATCTTACTTAATTCTTATAACAACAGGAAAAGAAAAAGGGTTTATTCTAGTTTTACTGGAAAGAACCATGAGCTAGGTAAGTATGTTACCTAAGAGCAGAAGGTCAGTTTCAGCCCAGGTCTGCCTGGCTTCAGTCTATCATGTTATTATTTTGTTTCACTCAAAAATGTTAACCCAAGGAATTATTAATACCTGAGATATTATTTGATAAAATTAAGACATATAGAATCTATATTATTCAAACTAAGATAAAACTTCAGTCTTGGGATGATGGTCCTGGATTCAGTTGACAATTTTTAAGTAAACATGGGAGAAAAATCTCAAGAATTTATAAGAGATAGTAGATTGGATATTCATTATGAGTGCAACATTGAAGTTTAAGGAAAAATACAGCATGGAGATCAAGTATTTGTATTACAAATGATTTGGAAGGAAGAGAATTTATTTATTCTTTATGCCTTTAGTCAGTCAAGGTGATGAATTTGAAGAAGGAAATTTTTTAGTTATGAACAATGGGATAAATTTTTGTGTGTTTTTAATAGTTTACCCTAGAATTTTATTAATATATTAATGAAGTACTATTTTTGTAAATGAAATAATGATTCTGTTCAAATACCAGATGAATTCTAAATATTTAGAATTGTCACAAATTTTGTTTAAAAATAGATTAAAAGAATCGGCAAATTTAGAGATTATTAGAAGATTAAGACCAGACCATCAAATATGCTTATATAATTCTGAGAGAGGCAGGGAGGAAAACTTATTTTATGTATATGTATGCTTCTTATTTTATATCCTTCCATTCCATCTGACAATTTCCATGCATATAGCTTTTGCCACTAAGTTGCTTAGGCCCTCTCTGAATTGCTGAGGCTGACCTCTACTTTTTAATCCTCTTTCCTCAGCCTCCCAAGTCACTGGAATTATAGGCATGAGCCATCACATCTGGCATTGGAAATAATTTTCAGGAAAATGTTTATTAATTCAGAGCATGCAACACATTGAAATGTCTGTTTAGTGGGTTTAAAATATGGAAAACATTCTCTTTTTGATCTTCTAAATAAAAAAAATTGAACATTCTTAAGAGAGTGAGAAAAAAAACAGAGAGGGAAGGAGAGGGTTAACTGTGGTTTTGGAGAAACAAGCAGATTCTGGAGTGAGTTAAGAATTTCAGCAAACCTAGCAATGATGTTAGGCCGGTGATACCACAGGCTGTAGTTTGAGATCACTGTCATTTAACCAAGACAGAATTGGGGCCAAGGGAGAAGAATGTGAGAGATTGCTAGAATGAATCCAGGCCAACTTCTCTCATTTACATATAAGAAACACAGTCAGGAGCTGTAGTGCAGGGGAAGTTGCTATGAGAACTTTTTAAGGTTTCTGGAACATGTGCCGTTTTCCAATGTTCATTTTCTTTTTTTTAGCATAAGTCTTAAACAAAAAGGCCTGCCTGCTTATTCTTAGAATTCCTGAAAAAGGAAATAGCTAGAAAGAATTGTTCTATTCTATAGTTAACACAGACGAGGAAAAAAGCCAAGTGGATGACAACTTTGAAGAAGAACTTGGACAAAAAAATCCAAGGATATGGGAGTAATGTGAGAGCAGCATGTGACCACAGGGGCTTAAAAGATGAGAGGTCCGTTTGGGCTTTCCTCGATCTCACTCTATTTTCCATCCTGTATGGACTGTTAAGTGGTGGCTTTCTGAAGTGATGGTGGCCCCTAGAATAGACCTGTGATATTCACACACTGAACAGTTATGATCCAGCTATTCCAAAGTTGCTGTTGGTTTTTATTAACTTCAGAATTTCCAACATTTCTTAGGCAGTGACTCCTGTGGATCTCTCAGTATGGATCTGAATGTTTCCTTCCCAAATATCAGTGATCCAGTGTGTTTCTCAATTTTGCTATTTGCTGGAGGGAAAGGGAGGGAGAAGGGGAATAGCATGGATGGTGAAAGGAGACCCTCATCATTATACAAAATACATGTATGAAGATGTGAATTTGGTGTCAACATACCTAATATATAATCAGAGATATGATAAATAATTGTATAATGGTGTATTAAGAATTATAATGCAAAATAAATAAATTTAAAAAAAAAAGAAAATTTTGCTATTTGCCTTTGGCACTGTTCTTCCCAGAATTTTTTTTTAATTAATAAAAATGAACATTTATTCTGTTATTATTAAATTATATATAGTAGCACTTTACATATTGGAAATTACTGTACAACTTTATTTTTATCTTTTTATTTGTTCTTTCTAGATATGCATGACAGTAGAGTGTACTTTGACATATTATACATACATAGAATAAGTATAACTCATCCCAATTAGGATCCTGTTATTGTGGTTTGATATGATGTGGAGTTACATTGTCCATGTATTCATATATAAACATAGGAAAGATATGTCCAGTTCATTCTACTATCTTTTCTGTTCCTATCTTTCCTCTCTTCCTTTAATTCCCCTTTGTCTAGTCCAATGAACTTTTAATATTCCCCTAACTTTGTTGTGGGTTAGCATCCACATATCAGAGACAACATTCTGCCTTTGGTTTTTTGGGACTAGCTTATTTCAGTTAGCATGATAGTCTCCAGTTCCATCCATTTATTGGCAAATGCCATTATTTCATTCTTTTTTATTGCTTTGTAATATTCCATTGTGTATATATTATATTTTCTCTGTTCACTCACCTAGTTGATGGGCACCTCGGTTGGTTCCATAGGTTGACTATTGTGAATTGGGCTGCTATAAATGTTGAAGTGGCTGCATCACTGTACTATGCTGATTTTTTTTAAAAATTTTTATTGTTGGTTGTTAAAAACATTACATAGTTCTTGATATATCATATTTCACACTTTGATTCAAGAGGGTTATGAACTCCCATTTTTACCCCGTATACAGATTGCTGATTTTAATTCTTTGATTATAAACCTAGGAGTGGGATAACTGGGTCAAGTGATGGTTCTGTTCCAAGTTTTCTAAGAAATGTTCATACTGCTTTCCATTTTGGTTGCACCAATTTGCAGTCCCACCAGCAATGTATAAGTGAATCTTTCCCCCTACATCCTTGCCAACATTTATTATTACTTATATTCTTGATAATTGCCGTTCTGATTTGGGTGAGATAGAATCTCAGTATAAAAATGCCAAAGTGTAACAATGAGCCCCATCATTATATATCATTATAATGCACTAACAAAAATAGGCAAATAAAAGGAGGGAAAAAAAAAGAAAGTCAGGCACGGTGGCACACACCTGTAATCCAGCAGCTTGGGAGGCAGAGGCAGGAGGATCCTGAGTTCAAAGCCAGCCTCAGCAATTTAGCGAGGTGCTAATCAACTCATTGAGACCCTGTCTCTAAATAAAATACAAAAAAAAATTGAGCTGGGGATGTGGCTCAGTGGTCAAGTGGCCCTGAGTTCAATCCCCAGTACCGAGGGAGGGAGGGAAGAGGGGAAGGAAGGAAGGAAGGAAGGGAGGGAGGGAGGGAGGAAGGAAGGAGCCAATGTGTCTTCTCATAGAGCATGTTAAAATAGCAAAATTTAATGTAGTTTAAAAGTGATCTTATCTTTCCTATTAATTATATTTATTTTGTGGCTGTTTTCTTCAGTTACTTTTTAAAAAAAAAATTTTTTGTTGTTGACAGTGGACCTTTATTTTTATTTTTTATGTGGTGCTGAGTATTGAACCCAGCGCCTCACACGTGCTAGTCAAGTGCTCTACCACTGATCCACAACTTCAGCTCTTCTGCAGTTACTTTTTGTAGTCACAGGGCTTATTAAGAGTCTTTACTCTTTTTTTTTTAATTTTTATTTTTTAATTAGTTACATATGACAGTATAATGACCTTGACATATCATACATTTGAATCAGATGGGATGTAATATCTCATTTTTCTGAGTATACAGGTTGCAGAATCACATTGGTCATGCATTCACATATATACACACAGTAATAATAATGTCTGTTTTATTCTGCAATCCTTCCTATCTCCCGCATCCCTCCCCTCCCCTCCTATCACTTCTCTCTACCTAATCTAGGGTAACGCTATTCTTTTTTTTTTCCTCACATCTTTGTACATGTATTTTGTATAACATTGAGGGTCTCCTTCCACCATCCATGCAATTCCCTTTTTCCCTCCTTTTCCCTCCCACCCCTCTTCCCTATGTAGAGGTAATCTTCACTCTTAACTGTATAACTGAGTGTGGCAGATTTGAAACTGCATATTAATTTATTTCTGTACAAGAAGACATCTTTAGTCCCCAAAAATTTTGCTAAGGATCAAAACTCTTTAAAATTAGCCATTAATTTCTGTTATAATTACTGTACAAACTATTGTGTTTCTATTAATGGAAAAATAAACTCTTAACCAGGTAGATAGTAATAATAATATGAATATCATAAATACATGAAGTTATATGCATATCATAAAACTGTTAAATGTGAAAAAAGTTCCCATAGCCACCTCAAAATAAATGATGGCCACAGAGCTCTGTGATTCATTGTCATGAAAAAATATTTTTAAAAATTTGTAAATACTAAAGTCCCCCCCTCCCCCCAAGAATTAGAGGACACTGAGACGAGGTGACTTGTAACTAATGCTAAACATGAAAGATATGATAGAAAAACTTGCTTTATGGCTGGTTTCAGAGATGCTTGCTTATCTGTGGGAGCTATAAAGATAGGATTCCTATATGTGAAAACATAAACTCTTATATAGGAAGAAATATCTTCTTCTTTCAATAGTTGGAGGAGTCAAGGAATTTTTTTTTTTTTTTTTTTTGAATACTGGGGATCTGGGGATTGAACTCCGGGGCACTTGCCCACTGAGCCACAACCCCAGCCCTATTTTCTATTTTATTTAGAGACAGGGTCTCAATGAGTTGCTTAGTGCCTCGCTTTTGCTGAGGCTAACTTTGAACTTGGGATCCTTCTGCCTCAGTTTAACAAGCCACTGGGATTACAGGTGTGTGCTACCATGCCCGGCTGAAGCCAAGGTTTTTTAAAAGGATGCTTTTAGAGAATTTGGGTTTCCTCAGTAGAAACTATTGGGGGGAAAAATCCTCTTCTGTTCAGAATAGGGGAGGAATCATTTCTCAAAATAGTGTTAACACCTAATAATTGAATATTTAAAAATTTTATATACTTACAAATTGAATCTTACCTGAGTAATAGAATTCTTAAGTGAATAATAATAAATGAAAGATGTTATTCATGAAAAATTACCATTCATAGTATGCATACAACACTATTATAAACATTAAAACTCCAAGTTACACCTTTATTATAAACTCTTTGCTCAATACAAATTGTACTTTACCATAATTAGTCAGATTTTACTGTAGTGACACACATATAAACTTTCCCAAGAACAATACTGGATTTATTTCAAATATTTAGAAAAAGATTTATTAAACCTGTTATACCACAGTTTTGAGGAAGCTTTAAAAATACATAATTGATACTTATTCAAACATCTAACTATTCATTTGTATTTATTTTAGTTTATGATTGAAATAAAGAATTCTGCAATATCTTGTATACCAGCTGATTGGGTTAAGGTTGGAAGGTAGGTTTAAAAGCAATTTTTTTCTTATACCTTGAGTTATAATGACATCTGTATACCTCTTTGCTACCAGACTGTTAATAGCGACAATCTTGAGAATAAAAGCAAGTTTCTCCCTTGGATATTCCTATGAAATTTTTAACCAAAGAGATAATTGTAGCAATTTTTATCTTTGATTTAAAAATATTTTTCAAAGGTATATCTTTGTTTTCCTTTTTTTGTAAGTTTCCATTTTATTCTTGTAGGTTATTGTACACAAGGAAAAAAGGTTGCAGAACCTTCAATTGTAAGATTAATTTGGTTGCTTGAACTTCTTGATGAATCTGTGCCTGACATTTCTTTTTAGAAGCTGAAATTTCATTTTCTACCTCACTGAACTTCACATTTCTTTATTCTTAATGCTTTCCTTGGCACATAGTTATAATAGTTCTTTACATCTTCTTTTTGTAGCTTATATTTATATCATGAATTGATGATATAAAAAATCAAAAACAAAATTAGAGAAACACATTGAGATTCTGTCTTTTCTCTTTGGTTAGCATTAATCTTCTAGAGGGGACTCACTTAAAATAGTATTACAGCAGTGTATACTCCTGTGAATAGTATCCGTTTTGGATTATTTGTTAGTGCTGTTATTAATAAGTTTGAATGAATCTGAGATGAAAATTTTTTTTATTTACCTAAAACAGTTTTAGAGAAACAAGTAGCTGGTAAACATATAAAGGAACTTGGTTAAAGATGAAGGGAAATTTTGACATGATGTGTGAATAATTATTAATTATTTTAATTAAAAAAGAAAACTATTTATTATCCATTGCCAGAACAATAGATGCTGAAGGCACATGCCTGGGTTTGTTTAGCTCTGATACCATCTTTTTTTCCTGTGTTATTAGAGGTGCACTATAGATATGAGTATTGCTGGTTTGGGGGAATTTTTGTTTCTTTGTTGGCCTGTTTTCCTGTATCTACTTTTGTTCTATATTACAGCTAATGAATGGCAATATGTTTTATGAGGAGACATTACTTGCAATCATGTTAGTCTACCTAGAACACTAACTGAAATGCCTCAGTAAATGAATTTTGTCAGAAGAGAAGGCTATGATAAATGTTTGCATAGAAGTCTAAATGATGTAATTTAAAAGCAACAAGGAAAACATAAATCAATGTCAGCATTTGTGAACATTCAGTGGTAAATTGAATGAACAAATAAAATGGTTTGGGGAAAGTTCATTGCCATTTTCTTCTGGTCATCAAGGTCTTGACATAATGACATATTAGAGTATTATTAGTTGGATTTTGAAAGTGAAAGATCCACACCCTATCAGCAATATGACAAATGAAAGATAACTGGGACAGTGTATTGCAGGAGTGAGGTAGCAAGCAAAGATCAGAGCTCACCCTCACCTTTTCTGCTTGAAGACCTATCATCCTAGTAGTGATGACATCACTTGCAATAGCAACCACCTAATACTTGTTGAGTACTCACAACTAGGTACTCTGTTAAGCACTTTTCTTTCACCCTCTCAACAGTATGAGGTAGATACTATTACAGTCCCCATTCTACAGCTGAGGAAAGTGATGTTTAGAGAAAGTCCATTCTGTTTGCCCAGAGTCACAATAGTTGGTCAGTGGCAAGATGGAGGCCTTTGCCTAGAGTCTTTTCCTGGGACCCCCAGCAGCCTGTATTGTGCTTTTACAACTTGTTAATGAAAAGGGCAGAGATTACACTCAAGCCCAGACAAGGAGTATGTGGTATTTCTTCCCAACCAGAACCCCTGGGTCCTGAAGAACTCCTTCTAAATTTATGCTTTGCTTTCTTGTGATGCTTTACATTTAAAAATATATATATATATAAAAAATATGACCTTCACCAGTGTATCTGTCTTCAACCTTTGTCACCTTGCTTTGCTGTATTTGCTTCTCATTTTTTTTTTTTAAGGTGAGCATTATCACTTAATATAATTTAAAGAAAAAAAAAAAGATTTTTTTTTTTTTTTTGCCTATGAAATAAAAATTCTAAAGTCTGACTTTGCCATGCAGTTTGAAATACATTTAAAAAAGCTTCCTGAACAAGGTCATATTCTTAGGAATTAGTAGTTCAGGACCATAAAATAATTAAGGAATGTTCTCTATTTACAGCTATTTACTTTCAAAGTTCATCAGTGAATAATAAATAACTCCTTTAATTTTCTGAAGTGATGGCATTGCTGATTCTTATAACCTTGATTTCATATTTATGTTTTTCCCCCTCTTCTAGCACAAAGGCTGTGAGCCGCTTTCACTCTCCTTTTGTTATAGAAAATTACAGACATCTGAATCAGCTCCGGGAGCAGCTAGTCCTTGACTGCAACACTGAATGGCTTGATTTTCTAGAGTGAGTTTACAATGATAAAAATAATCTGACTTTTTGCTATGAGAAATAGACCGGAAAATCTTTCCATCAAAAAGAAAAGTAGAGATTACTGCTTGTGACCTGCTATAAAATAGTTGAGTATTTGTGTTCTTGAGTTTTATTTTTAATCCATTGAAACATAAGCTTGTCTTAGTCTTTGGTGAGACCAAACACACATTATTGTTTCTGCACTAACATTTTGTTGTTAATAATGTTTAGTAGAGTCACTTTGAAATTCTACCTTGGAATTTACCTTTCTTATTAAAGACTTCGTGTCTCTTTCAGAGATGGACAGGTTTGGGCTAGTTGCTTTGTTTTTATTATCTCCATTTAATTTTTTTAATGACTTTATTATGTTTGTTTGTGTGTGTGTGTGTGTGTGTTTATTTATTTATTTAATGTTGGGCTGAAGATCGAACCCAGTGCCTCACACATGCTAGGCAAGTACTCTAGCCCTTAGCCACATTCCCAGCCCTCCATTTAATTTTTTAAAAAATTTTAGCAGCCTGTGTTTTTTTTTTCCTGCTTGTGGTTTTGAAGATGTTTAAGTCTACCAGAAAGTTGAAATGACCACCTTTATACCCTTTGTCTGAATTTATCAAGTTTCAACTTTTTTTTTTAAAGAGAGAGAGAATTTTTTAATATTTATTTTTTAGTTTTTGGTGGACACAACATCTTTATTTTATTTTTATGTGGTGCTGAGGATCGAACCCAGTGCCCCGCGCATGCCAGGCGAGCGCGCTACCGCTTGACCACATCCCCAATCCCAAGTTTCAACTTTTTGCTGCATTTGTTTTGTATCTCTCATATGTATTTAATGTATATATATATTATATGTATATAAAACACATATATACACACATTTTTTCTGAACATTGAAAGTAAGTTTTAGACATCATAATACTTTATCCTTAAATAATTAAGCATAAATCTTCTCAGCATAAGAACATTCTGCTGTATAATCTTAAAACCATTACTATACCTAAAAAAAATTAATATTAAGAATATATTTGAATGTCTTGAATTTCCTGAACACCTCCCATCTCTTATTTTTCTTTCTTTTTTTTTTTTTTTTTTTTTTAGTGTTACTAGATATGAACCCAGGCATGCTTTGTCACTGAGCAACATTCCCAATCCCTTTTGAGACAGTCTTGCTAAGTTGCTGAGGCTGCCCTTGAACTTGCAATCCTCCTGCCTCAGCTTCCTGAGTTACTGTAATTACAAGCATGTGCCACCATGTCCAGCCCCTCTCCAATTTTTAAATGAAAGATCTAGTTAACTTTCACACAATGCATTTGGTTATTATGTTTCTTTAGTCTATTTGAATCTGTAATAGTTTGCCACCTTTTTTGTTTTCATAACATCACAAAAGAATATGATACTTATGGTATATTACTAAATGAAGAAAATGATGTAAAATAATATTGAAATATGATACAACATGTGTATAGTCATATAATGAAGAGCATATAAACATATTTTTAAAGATAGAGTGCATATATATGCTAGTGTATTAATTATTAGTTTGCTTATTGACCATATGTATATCTTAAAAGATATATGTGGACACACAAACACACAGTGGCCTTTAATTTGCAATGGGATCACATTCTGATAAGCCCATCCTAAGATGGAAATATCATTAAGTCAAAAATACAATTAATTAAAAAATACAGTTAATTCATCTCATAGCTTAGCATATCATATCTGCAGCATGTTCAGAACACTTACATTAGTCTGCATTTAGGCATCTTGACAGAGTATCACACCACATATTACTAGCCTGAGAAAAAAATCAAAGTTCATTCAAAATATAGATTCTACTGAGTGGTTATCATTTCTACACCATTGCAAAGTTGAAAATTTATAATTGTACCATTGTAAGTTGGGGATCTTCTGCTTGTAGGCTCATGATGTTAACTGATTAGTTCTAAATAGTGAGATCAGTAGTGATATTAAATCCTCTATTTTGCCAATACATGATTTATTACTTTAGAACTTTATATAATGTGCATATATTACTTTAAAAATAAAGATGTGCATTAAAGTTTTTATAAAAATAAATGTTGCCTGAATTTAGCTAGAGCATTTGCAGCTAGAGCCCCATTTAAAAACAACATTGATTGTTATGCACACTGTTTATTGAGCTGCCAGATGGTGTGAATATGATATCATAAAAAAAAGATTAACCTCAATGAACCTGACATCAGAGGATTGAATACCAGCAGTAAGTGTATTATCCCTGACTGAGGTACTAACTGTTAGGCATTAGTCATATTACTTTTGATAAAAATGCTACAAAACAATCAAGGCTATAAACACTACTGCCACTGAAATTCTTTCTCAAAATAGGTATCTCTTTTGTATTCTGGAAGATGAAATCTGGATTTTGAGTAATCTTCTCAATTGCAAATTTGTTAAATTTTCTCAGATAATAGTTCCGATATTTTAGAAATGAATTTGAAAGTAAAATGTAAAGTATTTTTTAATTCATATTAGCCCCCAATATTTCTGAGCAACATTTGATAATAAACTTCTCTAGTCATCATAATAGCTTTAAGTATCTTCACCTAATTCCCATAGACCCCTTAACCTCTTTGGGCCAGAAATTAATTCACTGTGCTTTGACTTCAGCCTTAAATTTATTGTGATAAGGTTGCATAAACCTGATCTTTAGGATTGTTATCTGAGTTGCCCATCTTTCAGCTTGTTGTTTTTCTAAGTATGGATTATCTTTGAAATTTGGTAAGGTGTTGAAAAATGGAAAAAAGCCAATAAATCAAACAAGACTTCTTTAATAAGAGTTATGATGATGTTTAAAGTTTATGATAATTTTCATTTATTCATATGCCTTATTTTATTCATCATTGACATGAGAAAGAACGTTATTGTCCATATCAAAATAATTATCCTTTATTTCTTTTTGTGTTTTATTAACTGAAATTGTACCCACTGAAAACTATGTTTATTGTTTCTATCCTGGAAATTAGAATATTATGAGAGACAGTTACCTTCAACAAATCAGGGTGGCTTGTACAAAATCTGAGTAGAGAGTGAGAGTAAAAAAAAACTTAGTGCCAAAATTCTTTGACACCCATGTCCAGAAAGGCAAAGGTAGAAACATCAAATATGACTGCTCTCTAGTAAGAGAGGGTCCCAGGATGAAAAGACCAGACCTATTTGTAATTAGGACAGGGATGGCATAGTCCAAGGGGTAAATGAGAGGTCAGTTTTCCAACCAAAGCCAGCTCAGGAATAACAAGGTACTGTTACTGGGCAGCCACCTTCCAGAGTTAGGGCCTTACAGCATATGGCATCTTCACAACTAGGAGGCTTGCTTTATGTATGTATGTATGTATGTATGTATGTATGTATGTTATTTTCCCCTCTTTCTATCCAGTACTGGAGATGAACCCAGGGACATTCTAACTGAGCTACAACCACAGATTTTTCTCATTTTAGAGAGAAAGTCTGGCTAAATTGCTGAGGCTGGCCTCAAACTTGTAGTCATCCTGCCTCAGCCTCTGAGTTGCTGGGATTATAGGTGTGCACCACTGTGGTGGGCTACTAGGAAGCATTTTTAAGGTGGCATCTGAGGACTTCCTGACTGATACTAGGGATGCATTCCCGTTGTGTTTGGGATTTACAGGCTCTTATACTGTTAATGGAATTCATATAATTTATTTTGATGAACTTTAATTCAGTGAGAAGTAGGTAATTAATTATGCTTTGTCTATTCAAAGAAGTGTACTGTGAATATATTTTTTCATTTCACACTTAGTCAACACAAAAATAAAGCTAAATACTTAAAATGTTCCCAGTTTTCAGAAAATATCATTTTCATAGAATATCATGATAATTTTAGAAAAATCAGGCGACAGTTTTTTTAAAAAATCAAAGACAGTGATCATTTATAGGAATAATTGATCATTGTAATAACAATGGGATATCCTTTTAAGCTATGAAACATTCTGAAAATGTTTAGAGTTAAGTAACAAATAGACTAAATCTCAACATTTCTGAAAAACGCTTTTTAAGAGAGATTTTCCAATGTAACTCCTCCCTCTCTCTCATAGCACGATATAACAAAGAGCTCAATTTGAATCTTGGTGTTGCTATTTAATAATTGTGAGACTGTAGGCTTTATTGCTTTAATCTCTCTGAACTTCATTTATAAAACTTAGGTAATTAAACCTACCTTAATGGTTGTTATAAAGAAATATAGGTGCCTTTCATAGGAACTGGTTAGTAAATATTGATTTTTCACTTTGACTTTTTCTTGGACCTTCTTTGTAGTTAACTTAGTTATCATTATATTCCCTCATTTTCCAGTCTTTGAAGAATTTGAGGCTTATCATCACCTACATTTAAAATTTTTTTAATTAAATAAAAGTTGTTAATCCCTCTTGGAAGCAGAATAATTATTGTAAGAATTTAAGCTTAGTTATATATTTTATCTTAAAAAGACAATTCATCCTGGGCATTTAAAAAAAAATAAGTTTTGGATCCTTTTTGTAGTATAATTATATGTATTTCAAATATCTATAACAGATCATTACACACAGATGTTCACAATTTATATAGTATGGTACACATTGAAATATAATACTATGATACAAGGTAATTGGGCAATTTAGGAAAAACAACAACAAAAACACCTGTACACATTCCTATACTTTTCCTGACCAAGTCTTTTAATAAGTCTTTTAAGCTTTTAGATCACCAGGTATTATAGTTTAACTGGCCAAAGATTTGAGACAATGACTATTATCTTTTAAAAAACAAATCTAAAATTAAATTTTTATAAACATTATTCATAGGATAATTGAAAAAAATTACTTTTTCCCTTTGCTTGTCTTTAACAACTATTCATTACCATATCTATTCTATAATAAGAGTGTGGAGTAGACACTAGGGGTACAAAATAGGTGAGTCTGCCTTTGAGAGGCTTTCAGTTCAGTGTGAGAGGTATTGAAATTGTTATTTTAGGTTTGCATGTTCATGTATAAGAGGAGCCCAAAGGGAAGCTCACCTGTCTGAGTAGCTTATGATGTGTTGGAGCTTAATGCAAATTATTTCTACATTTGTGTTCTTTATATATAAGTTGAAATATCATAGTCAGATGAAATGTATAATATAGTATAAATAGTAGGTACCTGTATATACAAGGTATATTAAAAATAAAGGTAGTTCAACCAAGTTCCCATCTGTCTTACTTGTTAGGTATACTGCTTATTTTGGGGGTACTTACATTAGCATAGCTCTTAGAGATCAAAGACATTAACTTGCTCATTTTGTTTCTGTTTCTATAGGAATTTCAGTAAACATTATCACGCTTTGTGTAAAGCAGTGCATCACCTAGCAACCATTGACTGTATTTTCTCCCTGGCCAAGGTCGCAAAGCAAGGAAATTACTGCCGGTAATATCTTTTATCTCTTCTCTTTATCATTGCTTCAGATAAAATTGCATTATTCAATTTATTCTAGTGTCTTTATTATAAAATATTACAGTTACTCAAATGTGTCAGATTCTTGGTAAAGTGAAATGTCATACACATAAAGCTTGATTTGAAAAATAACAAATTCCTTTCTTATTCCACCTATTAAATGAAAGCAGATGTTTCTAACTCTAGAAATGAATGTTATATTTTAATTTTTAAGTTTATGTGGTCAGTATATTGATAAAGTTTGAGTACCCTTTTCTTATGTTGACATTGATTTGAAGACTTTACATCATTTTAAACTTTATAAAAGCTTGATTAGGGCTCGGACTGTGGCTCAGCAGTAGCGCATTTGCCTGGCATGTGTGAGGCACTGGGTTTGATTTTCAGCACCACATATAAATAAATAAAAATAAAGATCTATGAACAACTAAGAAAAAAATTTAAAAAGAGAAAAGGAAAGCTTGATTAGCTAAAAAAAGGATTGAAGGAGAATGGACATTTCTGTGATTTTCTCTGTTCCTCCTGAGAGCCCAAATTCATCCCATTATTCTTTATTGGCTTTTAAACACTCCAACATGGTTTATTCTCCTTTCCGTTGTGGATGTTAGTATGAAATAAACCTAACTTTAAATCTTAGCTCTAACTTTTAGGAAAATTTTTTGTCTTCCAAAAGCTTGAGGGACACACACACACACACACACACACACACACATACACACCCTTCAGAAGAGTAAAAAAATATTTAGCTAATTGGCTTATTGTGAGGACTAAAAAGAAAGCCTATATATGACAGTGCCTAGCAGTATCTATGACCTACAGAGTTCTTAGTAGGCATATTTTGCTATTTATATTCTTTCATGTTTTGGTTTCTTCTTGTCACATTAGAGGGATTTGAACGAACACAGATTTGCATTGTCAGTCAGTTACCAATAGGCATTTTAGAACTGAAGCAGTGCAGTAAATGGGAAGGAAGGGAGTAGAATTATATATTCTATTTGTCATCTGTTATAGAAGGCTTAGAGTCCACAATCAGTTGACTTTTTGAAAGATTGAGGATTGAATCCAGGTTTACTATTCAACTATGTCTCCAGGCTTTTTTTTTTTTTTTTTTTTAATTTTGAGACAGGATCTCGCCTTGCTAAGTTGCTTAGGACACTAATAGTCTGGTGTTACTTAATTCCAATCATGGGTCGAGATGATGTATTCTTCTGTCTGATGAGCAGCCCTAGCTATTTCAGTCTAGCACATATCTGTCCACTGTTCAATATCCTAGGGGCTATTTCACATTGTTTTCAGTTATTCCAACTATGATATAAAAGCCTAAAATAAAAAGAAATCTGGAGAATCTGGAGAATGATAATGCAAAATGAGGGAAAAAATATTACCTTTTTGTTTTCTTATCATGTTGCTCAAAGTGATATACCATCTTTGAAGAAGGTATAAAAGAAAAGCGCAGGTGCTAAAGTTGTAATCTGCTGATAACTTTCATTGGGTAGAGTTGAGAATTCAGAATTTTTCATCTTTCACCTATAATAAAAGGTAAAACAGTTGACAAAGGACCATTTCACAGTTAGTAGGTTAATCAGAAGATGAAGAGAAAGATAGTGTTCTAAATACTATTGACAATAAGGCATCTCCTATATAAACAAAATCTGCAATTATAAATGCTCATGTGACTATTTTTAGTCAATATTATTATTAAAAATTGATGTATCAATAATGTATTTGTAGGGCAAGATAAAATATGCTATTCTCATCCAGTCATTCCATATGAAGCATTCATCGTGTAATATTTGGTGACTAGAAACTCGATAATCCTGTTTTGTTAAAAGACATCATGGTTTTCTGTCTTTCATTGTAGTTGTTCACCAAAATTTACTTGATGCAGTTTATAGGTGAACAGGTAGGAGGAGATTGAAAGGATATGGATGCTATAGAAATGAAAATATTAATTTGATTAATTATTCTAATTGGTGTCTATAAATCTAAAAATGAAAATGTTTTGTGGTTATGGAACAAAAGAGTTTTAGCTCTCCTTCCAGAAAATTATCAGTTTTAGGTAGTTTTGAATGCATTTTGTCTCTGAGAGTATGAGAAGAACCAGAACAAATGAACTAGAAACTATTAGAAGTTATTAAAATTTGGAATTCAGTATTTATAAATGAATGTATTCCAGGTGCATGCATGAAAGTTGATAATGCAGTTATATTCAGAATGTGTTACCCTATTTCAATTATATAAGCCTTGAAAACCAGAAAACTATGAAATAAAAATGTGACACTTGCCATTTTTAAATTCTTACTAAGGGTTTGGGGGGTATAGTCCAGTGGTAGAACACATGTCTAGCATTCATGAACCCTTGGGTTTGATCCCCAGCATGCCAAAACAAATAAGCAAACACATGTACACACACATATATAAGATACATATAATAATATGTAAAATTATTTATAAAATGGACTTTAAAATATTAAAAATAAGAGTCTGTTGGATCAGATGGTAATGGTCAAATTGATTTTCTTATGTGTACTGATGGTTTAAATACACTATTGAGTTAAAAATAGTTGTACAATGTTATATTACGATATATTTTTTAACCAATATGATGTGTCTATAAACATAAATTTATAGAGGAAGGTTGGGAATAGGAGACACCAAACTGATCTCAGTGATAACATCTGGGAGAAGTCCCAGCAGGGCTGGCTCAGGGGATAGGATAAATAGATAATACTGATAAGATATAATGGAAGATATGAAGGCTTGGAAAACTGATAAGGTTCACAGGCTTAAAAAAAAATGAGATGCCTTAAAGATAGGCATCTCATTCTCAGATAAAACCTTTCTCACCTAATTACTCCTTACAAATTCTTTGACTCCCATCTACACATTATTTTACTCTAGTCAGGCTCCTCTCTACCCTGCCTCTTTTATTTCTCCTCCTCCTCCTTCTCCTCCTCCCCCCCCC